CTTTGTCTACAACAGAGGCAGAGTACATGGCTATTACAGAGGCTGTGAAAGAGGCAATTTGGCCTTAAGGATTGCTAAAGGAGCTTGGTGTTGAACAAAAAGGTATCACATTTTTTTGTGATAGTCAAAGTGCTATTCAATTAGCGAAGAACCAAGTTTATCATGCAAGGACGAAGCACATTGATGTTCGGTATCATTTCGTACGAGAAATCATAGAAGAAGGTGGAGTCACGGTGAAGAAAATTCATACTACAGAGAATCCTGCTGATATGCTGACAAAGGTGGTGACTGCGGTCAAGTTTCAACATTGTTTGGATTTGATCAACATTGTTGAACACTGAAGATTGAAGATGAAGACACAACCAAAATTTGTTATTGAGAGAGAATTGAAAATGTGGAATTTTGCCAAGGTGGAGATTTGTTGAAGTTTGGCAAAATGCCAAAGTCCCACATTGGTTGGGAGTTAAGTTTGGGGGGGATTTTTCCCCTATAAAAGAAGGCCTAATGTTTAGGATTGAAACACACCTCTCATTTGCCTTCTCATCTGTTTAAGACATTTGTATCTTCTCCCTTTAGTATTATTTCACTTGTATTTTTGGAGTGAAATAAAATATTGGTTGTGTCCGAGGAGTAGGCAAAATTAGCCGAACCTCGTAAATTCTGGTGTTCCCTTTATTGTTGCTTTATTGTCTTATTTATTATTTGGTGGCTGTCATAATTTTTGGTATAGTAGTTGTGACTTATTCACGCTATATACATTTGGCTTCCGCAACAGTTATGTTGTCTTACGTCTAGCACTTTTCAACTAGTTTCAAACATGTAAATTTTATTTCAAAAAATTTGAGGAATTTATGCCCGAGTTCACACAAAATATTAAGTGCTTTGATTGTTAACACCCAACGTGTTTAATTATTTGCTTCTTTTGCACACAGGGGGAGCATTTGTGTTGTATTCCTTAATATGTCGACATGCAAACGTGAGTCTCATCCCAAACCAGGAGCCAGAGGATAGAGAGCTTTCCCGCTACGGTCTGGACATACCATCAAATCAATTCAGAAGGGCTCAGAAGATCAGACATAAGTTGGAAAACACTAAATTTGCAAGATTTTTTCTTGTCTTCCTTGCGATCCTTGGAACATCGATGGTCATTGGCGACGGAATTATCACTCCTTCCATCTCGGGTCTCTAAATATCAATATATACTCTCTATCTCATCCCTTGATCATCATATCAGACTAGGACTGCCTAAATTAACTCATAAAGATATAAACTGTCCAACCTGCTGAGTATATTTTAATGGCGAGTCAATTTGGGCACATCCCAAGTCAGCGCATCTAAAGGTTGGGCTGGTCTTGAGGTATAAATATGTAACCCAAATTGAGCCATAATATCACTTATCAAAATACATCTAAATTTTTTTTAATTAGATATGCAAGATATAGTCATACTCCCTCAGTTCCATATACTCTAACAATAAGAGAATTTTATACTATCAAATCACCCAAAAGAAAACTACAAGTAATAGTCAATAATAAACAAATAAACAAGACAGACAATCTGCTACAACAGAATAAATAACACAAATAATAATTTATATAAGATAAATCATTATTTAATCTGGTGTGTTTCATGTGCAGTTCTCTCTGCCGTAAGTGGGATCAAGCCTCTAGGCCAAGGTACAGAAATTAAAAGGATGCTAATGAATTCTTCTTTTTCGCTTATTCCTTTTCAATGATCAAACAACTGGAAAAAAATGGATAATGGTTCTTGCAGAAGCGATTGTGGGTGTTTCCGTTGCAATACTGGTAGCCCTCTTCTGTTTTCAACGTTTTGGTACGGATAAAGTGGGATACTCATTTGCTCCAGCCATATGCATTTGGTTTTGTTTAATAAGTGGTACCGGTATGTACAACTTGTTCAAGCATGATGTGAGCGTCTTACGTGCCTTTAATCCCATATACATTTTTGACTACTTCAAAGGAAATGGTAAAAAAGGATGGCTTTCTCTTGGTGGAGTTATCCTCTGCATTACAGGTTAGAATTTTATTTACAGTATCCGTATAATTAAACGGTTATACCATGCATGTTATAAGTTATCATATTTTCAAATCATAAATCTACACTTGATACAAACAGTACCTTTAATCACTTGATCAACGACCTGATTGTGTATATTATTTAGACAGCCCATTTATAAAAGTTAATCTCAGTAGCTTATTACTCCTGCATTATCTCCAGTGGAGTTTCTCTACTCATCTCTCTTGCCCTACTTCCTGTCTGTGTTCTTATCTGGTGAAAGACTATTTTATGAAACTATTACAGGATCTGAAGCTATGTTTGTTGATTTGGGTCACTTTAGTGTGCGGTCTGTTCAAGTAAGTCTTCTGCATTTTTTATTTTCTTCTTTGCCCTAAGTAATCGCAAAGATGTACTTCCTCTGTCCCTTTGTATGTGGCGCACTTTTCGTTTTAAATTGCCCTTTATTATATTTGATATTTGTTTCCAGTTTTTGGTCAATCTGAGTGAACTCACCATGTATATATGTTGCAGATAAGCTTCAGTTGCGTAGTATTTCCATCTATCCTCTCTGCTTATATTGGGCAAGCTGCTTACCTTACAAAATTCCCAGAAAATGTGGGGAATGCTTTCTATGCCTCTGTTCTGGGCAAGTCTCCTATGTATATGTGACAAATTTGTTAACTTTTTCATATTCCTTATATATATTGAGGCCTTTTGGGTTAAAGCCCAATAGGAAAATACTGCGAGGCACCAAAGATCGGACCAAAGCGGACAATATTGTGGCAGTTGAGCCTGGGTCGTGAAAGATAAACTAATCATAAAATTATTTACTTTATCAATACCATGCATAATATTGATTTTGTTGGTGCTGCTTACAGATCCAATTTACTGGCCAACATTTGTAGTGGCTGTTGTTGCGGCCATTATTGCAAGTCAAGCAATGATATCTGGAGCTTTTTCTATTGTGGCTCAGGCCCAAAGTCTAGGTTGTTTCCCAAGGGTGAAGGTAATTCACACATCTGCAAAGCACGAGGGTCAAGTTTACATCCCCGAGTTGAATTACTTCCTCATGGTTGCATGTGTTGTAGTTACTCTCAGCTTCAAAACCACAAGAAATTTGGGGAATGCTTATGGAATTTGTGTGGTTAGTGCTGAGCTTACAACCACAAATATGATGACATTAGTAATGCTTCTTATATGGAAAATTAGCATATGGCGGATTATCCTATTCTACGTGGTGTACGTTACCATAGAATCTACATATCTATCCACTCAGCTGACAAAGTTCGTGCAAGGTGGTTTTCTACCTTTGGCTTTCTCATTTGTGCTCGTGATCATTATGGGGAATTGGCACTATGTTCAAAAACATAGATATGAATTCGAGCTTAAGAACAAGGTTTCAAGTGACTACTGTGAGCACGTGATTTTTGTCTTACGCGACAATCGCTCCAAAAGAAATAAAAAATAATAA